CCCTCACCCCGCGCCCCGCCTCACTCGCGTGCGCGCACACACCGCGAGCGCACGCATTGCACTCCGGTGTGACATGACACGCGACGCAATCTCGACATACACGAACGTAGTTACTAAAGTCTGCCAAACTTTTATCTATCAGTTCCACATATTAATTATTTCTAAGTTAGTAATACTAATTACCTATAAGAAACTGTTTAATGTTTACAGCATATTTGCGATTTATATCAAAGTAAATTAATAAAAATTATTTTTTGTAAAACTGACTACAGATTGTTTCTGTTTCCAGTTAGTTGACATTTCAAAACCTTAAAAAGGACAAGTAAGATTAGTTTGCTACTAATTTTGACGAATTGAATATTGGATTTTCAACCTTCATTCAACTGTTCAAAACAAACTAACAAATAGTTCTTAAAGTAAATTTAATCGGATCAAAGTTTTTATAATCTTAAGATTATTTAACCGCTAAGTTATAATGTGTCCGAGACGAGGGTGAGCAGAGTTGAGAAAAATCGATGAGTAACTAAGCGTCGAAATATCGACTTAACTTCTGACTTAGTGATAGTCTTTTTAATAACATAGATTTAATTTTTTTTAAGATTTTATCTTAACCGAAACATACGACTACCCAAAATTCCAAATGGAAATTATAGATTTATTATTTTATTTAAATAAAGATATACTATAATGAAAGTAGTAAAACTCAATGCCTTTGACAATTTTATTACTAATTTTCACACACTTCAAACACACAAAAACTTAATAAGTGTAGTGCGAAGTTATTAGTACACAATATTGATATACTATAAATTTTGGACGTTTGCCAAAAAGATTTCGTTAAATGTAAACAGACGGTTACTACATTGTCATATTTATATACAAAAAATCTATAAAACATTATTTTATTAACAATTGCGGTGAAAATCAGCTGACCCGCGTTTGCTTTTTCTATAAAAAAACTCAAGTTAATGATGGTTGCAGTCGCGTGCGTTAAAATGCGTTTATTAAAAAAAATTAACGTAACAAAACACCTGATCTGGACACAGGTGAGCGACGCATGCGGGCCGGCAGATGGCGCCCGCCTAGCAACAATCATTTATACTCGCAATATTCAAACTATATTATTCGCTATATTTCAACAAAAGTTAAAATACTGTAGAAGATAAAAAAAAAACTTTATCGATCTTTAGTTTTTTACGTCATAATATAAAAAATTCAGATTAACAATGACCTTGGGACAACCCTACACTAAAATGAGAAACAACCAACAATAAAGAAAAATCAAAAGTAAAAGAGGTTTATATTCCAAGTTTATGTTTAAATTTAAATTATAAGAAGATCAATACTAATAATAAACCATAAACGTACATCTGTTTATAAACTCGAAAAGTATTTTTATTCGCAATGTTTCACTTTACAACGCCTAACGCCATCTAGCGACAAAAGTTGAAAACCGACCTATGCATATTTAAAGCGCTATTTTTGCTGATATATTTTTAATTCTTCTTTCAAATATTATTTAAGGTTGTCTGTTTTATATTTTTAGATGTGTTTATTATCATAATTTCTAGATTTAAAAATCCTCAGTTATGGATTTTTTATAACCTAAAGATTCATAGCAATGCAGTTACACGATATCGTATGTTTTAAACTATTCGTATATTTTCTAATGACATCAAAGATTCGGGTTCAAAGTGACTGAGAAAGATCAACACATAAAATATAACGTCTATGCCACACATGCTCTCATATCCACTGATAGTTACGAGTTTTTTATTAATTTTATACGTGTAACCAACAAATTGTGAACCTGGACGATTTGTAACTTGACTACCCTTGTAAAGACTACGAATTGCGTATCGAACTTATTTATTCATATTAGTTATAATTCGATTTTGTTAAATTAGTTGTAAAAACAAACTTGACGGATTATAAAAGTATAATTTATAAATTCGATATGTAATTTGCTAAATATTTTCGATTACAGTTAATTTAGAAACGGGCGGTGTTTAAGATTTGTCGGTATCATATATTTTATTACCTCCCCAATAAAGCTTGCACTGTAGAGGAATGTTTTATTCGAAATTTCGTTTGATTTCGATGAATGATGTTTTTGTAACCGCGCTTGCAGTACGTATCTGCAATATTGTTTATATTCTGTTTAGACTTTTATTTATACGATTGCTTTTATTAATATATGATTAAATGCTTCCTGAGATTCATAATTATATTTACAATACAGTTTAACATATATTTACTTGAAAACCATACCTTAAATACCTTAAAAGAAGTTTTAACAAAAGTTTGCGATATAAGAATTTGAAAATATTAAAACAAAACGAGCAATAATCTGTCTGTAAACACAATTATGTTATGTTACAAGTTTCCAGTAGTGAAAACGGTTTCATAATCACCAAATAGTTTGATGCCACCTTTGACTTTTGACACCTAAAATAATTGTAGAAACGTTTGTGCGTCATACATAAAAATAAGCGGTACGATTTGAATCATCGAGTTTTCGCTTACTATGCATTTTCTTACGTCAGGGTTTGCACGTCGTTGCAGATTATTATTGAAATTCAATTGACGTGTTCAAGATTTATGGAAATAATATACTGTGGCGTTTTTATTGCATCGAAATAATATATTTTGCCTATTACCCTCTTTATAATTCATTTGTTGTGGGGTTTATTAGTAAAATACATCATGCCATATTAAATAGGGCAGTTTTTCAGAAAAATATAGGGTAACGGATGCAGTTACTATTTGCAGTGAAAACCGACGTTAAACAGTTGACATTTAATTACTAAGTGGTTGATAGATTTGTTGCTGTCATGTGAAAGTGCCTTTACTTGGTTTATAACTTTCTTAAAGGAAGCCGTGACCTTTGATAACGGAGGTCATGTTGAAGTGGTTTTTAGTAGTGTTTCGTTTATTCAGATGTTATCTAGAGGTAAATAATGTAGTAAAATAGATTTAAAATATTGAATACTAAATAGATGTCAAAGTGCTGAATGACGAGATAAAAAAATCACTTTAAAATGTTAATTATTTGGGTAACGAAAATGAAAATCGATAAATGTATTTTAAATTAAATTTTAAAGCTATAATTTTTATTTTCTAGTTTTTTTGGAACAAAACACTCTTTTGAAAGTCCTACATTCAGTCTTACTAATATAAATGCGAAACTTTGGATGTATGGATTAATGTTTACTAAATTTTGTAGCCTCAACTTCTGAACGGATGTAGATGAAATATTGACATTGTCTAGGATAGTCTTGCTTTTTTTTAATTTCGCTCAGACGGAGTCGCGGGCGAAAGCTAATCTTTCTATATATGTTATACTCTTTGTCATTTAGAGTGACATAGAGTACAAGAGGGCGAGTTTCGTATGTCATGTACCTTGACCTAAGCACAATGATTCATAACTTTGTTTTGACGATTTACAGATTACCTACTTTCTATGACTAATTGATGCATTTTTAACTTCGTAATAATTGACATTTTTACGTAGAATTCGTAAATTAACCCTTTCATCGCCACTCTGCCTGCTAGTTCACTTTTATACTGCTTATCTTGTATAGGGTGGGCAGAACGTATTAGTTTAAAGTTGTACATAATATATTTCTATGTTGGTGTCGCGTGACTTTTTTTGACATTTTTCAATTTTCTCAGCGGGATATTAAAAAGATTTTACAAAGGGGTCAACCCTAAGCTAGGTCCCCTTTAGTATTGGACCCCTGGGGTAATACTCTTGTGTTTTGTGTGCTAAATTTAGGGTTTCCAATGTCCTAAATCGTATGATCTGATTTCATTTCTCATAGTTACATAGTATGTTCTTTTATTAATTTCTACAAACTTATAATACTACAAGTTGTCTAATTTATACGTCGTAAAGCAAATTATTAACTCTCTTATCAATAGTTTAGACATACATTTTTGTAACTTCTCACATACAAATGTATTTGAAGTCTAAAGGTGGCTTATTAACAGAATATATTGCCTCGTCCCTACCATTGTGTGCAGATATCCTCCCCACTAAACCAGCAATGGACGTAGATAAAGAGAAAGCGATCAACAAAACAAAAAAGCATAGTTATCGACAGTCGAAGAATACGATATCCCAGTACGAAAATGCTGATAGAATCGAATTGCCCATTATATGTCAGGGTGGCTGGCCCTGGGCTGCATTGACAAAAGAAACAAACACAATTAAAACGCAAACAAAAACCAACCTTAACCATTACAAATAAAGTCGAATTTCAACTGTAGTACCCAATTGCAAAATGCAACAAGCTATATTCGAGGATATGTTGGTTGTTGCGTGTTGTGGTCCTAGTACCTACCGTCTCTATCACTCTTCATACGAATGTCTTCTATCTCGCTTACACTAACCGGTCCACTTCGACTTCGGATACAAGAAAGTGGAAGTTACAGGAAATTAGAAATATTTAACCACTTTATTGATGAGAACCCAGTATTTGCGTTTATTGCCTAAATTGTCTTTAGGATGTATTTTAAGGGAATTCTTACTTAGCGGCTTTAACACTGAGCGGAGAATAATTAAAGAAATTTTTACAAAGCTTTGGTTTTAAATGTATTGGGGCCTTAATGATATAAGGGTATTATCAAGAGCAAATGGAGGTCCATACTCTCTACCTACCCTAGTTTCTAGTATGATTTAAGTTGACTGCGATTTAATTGTACGACCTATTTCCATCTAAGTTGTAGGTGACACGAGTAATCTAAGTCACATATTAACAAAGCCC